TCTCTTTAAAATAAAAAAATTTTTAAAAAGATATACTATATAAAATACTTGGTGAAAGAATAGACAAATAGATCAAAGTAATAGAAAATCCAGAAACAGACTCATAAAAATATGGACAAGTGGTCTTTTTTGTTTGTTGTTGCTGTAGTAATAGGGATTGAACTCAAAGCCATGCCCTTGAACATGCTAAGCATACACTCTTTACCATTGAGCTACAGTTCCAACTCAACTGGTCTTTAAGAAATGAGGGAAGGGAATTTCATAAAAACTAGCATTTTCAACAACTAGTGCTGGCCAGAATAAATGAACATCCACATTCAAAACAAAACAATTTAGACATAGATCTTACACTTTTCACAAAACTTAACTCAAAATGGATGATATATCTATATGTAAAAGAAAATATGCTAGGTGTGGTGGCACATGCCTGTAATCCCAGCACTCGGGAGGGTGAGGCAGAAGGATCACTGTGAATTAGAGGCCAGCCTGGGCTATAAAGTGAGTTCAAGGCCAGCCTGAACTGTATAGTGAAATCCTGTCTCAAAAAGACAAAAAAGAAAAAAAAAGGCAATATAAAACTTTTAGGCAATCACACAAGAGGAAAAAAAAATAAAATGATCTTGAGTTTTCAGATATAACACCAGAAGCTTAGTCCACAACAATAAAAAAAAATTAAGTGGAACTTCATTAAAATTACAAACTTAAACTCTGTGAAAGACATTGTGAAGAGAATGAAAAGACCAATCATCGGCTGGGAGAAAAGATTTGCAAAGCACTTGCCTGATGAAGGACTTGTATTCAAAATATACCAAAACCCACTTAAACTCAGTAACAAAATAACCCAGTCTACAAGTGGGCAAAAGATATGAACACACACTCTTCCAAAAATACACAGATGGCAAATAAACAGTATAAAAATATGCTTAATATCATACATCATCACAGAATTGAAAATAAGAACAAGAGAGCACTATATACCTACTAGAGTGGCTATAATCTAAAACAATAACAGCAACTGCTGGTGATGAAGTAGGGTAACATAAATGTGTATTCATTGCTAATAGGAGTGGAAAATTGCACAGCCACTTTGAAGGGAGTCTGGCCGGTAAATAAGATATAAAATCTAGAAATTTTATGTCCACATAACAACCTGAACATAAATACTTATAGCAACTTGCTTCATGATTGCTCAACCAAAGTATTCTTTAGTAGGTGAATAGATAAACCATGGTATGTACATACAATGGAAAATTATTTAGTAGAAAAAATTAATGAGCTATCAAGACACACACACAGAGAAAACTTAATACATATTGCTAAGTCAAAAAAGCCAGTCTGCAAAAAAGGTACAAACTGTATGATTCCAACTATATGACATTATGGAAAAGTACAGTGACAGAAAAACAGACCACTGTTTGGCAATTAAGAAGGGCTTGGTGGCGCATGCCTGTAATCCCAGCACTCGGGGGGCTGAGGCAGGAGGATTATTGTGGGTTCGAAACCAGCCTGGGCTACAAAGTGAGCTCAAGGCCAGCCTGAACTGCATAACAAAACCCTGTCTCAAAAAAAAAAAAAAAAAAAAGACAATTGAAAGAGTGGGAGAAAAGAAAAGAAAGGTAGAACACAAAAGATGTTCAGGGCCATAGAACCATTCTGTAGGATATTGAAGGTATAGACACATGATATTACACACTTATCAAAACCCAAGAAAGATAACATAAAAAGTTAGCCCTAACATAAACTATGAAATTTAGTTAACAATAAATATATTAATACTGGTCATCCATCAATTGTAACAGATAAACTGTACTAATAAGATGTTAATAATAGAGAAATGTTGCAGGAATGGGATATAAGTGGTATATAGGAGCTCTGCACTTTTTTAAAAAAAAAAAAAAAAACAAAATAACAAAGACAAAAATGAAACAACACAAAAACAATAAAAATGATTTAGGATTTCTAAACAAGATGATAGGAATTAATGAAGGTTGTTATATA